TGACCTCGATGCTGCTGCTTCTGTCAATTCTTGGGTTGCAATCTTGGTTGCAGTCGCTTCTCTCTTTCTGTCATTTGTCTGTGAAGAACTGGTTTCTATTCTCGTCATTTTTTGGCTAGCCGCTGATTTGCTTCCCTTTTTGTCCGTTTGACATCCGGTTTCTGTTTTTTTAGGGGATTTTTCTCTTGTATTCAATTTATTTTTTAGCAGCAATGATTTAAGCTCGTGTATTTCCGTTTCAAGTTTGTAATTCTCGTCATGCCAGTGTTGTTTCATCTCATACACATCATCCAGAAAGCCTGCTTTGGTCTTTTCCAGTTTCTCAATGTATGCAGATTTTTGTTTGATTTCATTTTCCAAATCTCCAACTTCTTGACTTTGCTCTTCAAGGCGTTCTTTCAGCTCTAGTTGTTTCTCTCCCTCGGTTTTGTAGGTGTTTGAACAGTAGATCTTATGATCTTGAATATATGCGTCCAATTTCTGGTCCTATCCCAGCAGGATTTTTGCACAATTGCACAACAGGAGACGCAACAACAAATTTTTATTTCCTGTAGACGGTGACAGCGGTAGGTGCTCATCTTTTCAAATATTATAGTTAGGTATTTCCCTCTGTTTAAGAAAATAGTTATTTGTTTTGCCTATTTCATGCTACCTGGTATTGAATATTAATATACAAAACTGAAATAAACAAGTTGTTTAGTGCTATCACTGGTTGGGCTTCAAGAATCAATGTCAGCGCCAAAAAAGAGAAAAAAAAAATAGTTTACTAGAGGTTTTATTGTAGAAATCCTTATCTTCAATAGAACTGAAAAAAATCACTTTTTTTGATTTAAAAGGAATTCGCTCGAAGCAATTCACAAGACAATTTCCCACTCTTACATGAGTACAATCAAAATCAGGGTTGCCAGATGGTTATAACTAATTTCCACCAAAGGATTTCAAAAATACCCCAAAAATCACTGTTTGTCAACTAAAATCCCCCAAATAAAAAATAAAGATTTATTCTCGACTCATACTTGCAAAAAAAAAAAGACAAATTCGTTGAATATTTTAAAATAAAACTCATACGCTTACCACTTTTTTATTTGTTTATATTTTTCCAATCCCAAAAATAAAATGACAATTGACAAATGACAAATGAAATAGAATGTTGTGACTGGTGACAGAACAGATAAGTACAGTTGTACCAAGAAGTTTGGATAGTTTAAAAAATAATCTCAATTTATAAAAATAGTAGTACTTAATAACATAAAATAAGAAATAAGACATAACTTAAAATTTAGCTTCATAATTGTAAATAAAACAAAAGCAAATCGTTCGAACTAAAAAAATTCCTTAGTTGTCAATTTCTGCGAGCACATCTAATGCGTTGTTATTTTCTACACTCATCTGTTACATGTTTGAGTTAAACTTTTCCAACATTTTCTCGGTTGGCTGAAAACTAACGCAACCAATATCCATAAGGTAGAAACGCACTCGCAAATTAGCATCTGTGCTATGAATTGTCAATCGATTTCGTATTTTATCTTTGATTAAATTAACAAGAGAAAAAGCTCTTTCCACTGTGGCATTTGAAAAAAGGAGAGACAAAAGCTCAATAGTTAAGTTTGATATATTGTCACATCGTGCTGGCGCAGTTGTTTTAATACATTTTTTACTTTAGTTTTATTCATTGAAATATACCCGATTTCCCCCAATAGCGAAAATTCTTACAATTCTTACCCCCAAAAAATCCCCCAGAAAAAACTATCCCCCAGATTTTCCCCCATCTACTTGAAAATCCCCCAAATTTGGGGGAAAATCCCCCAATCTGGTAACACTGATCAAAATTTGCCGAAAATGAATTATCGCACAATATAATTCTCGATTTGACAAATACGACGGTACTAAATACAGTACTAAAACGAAACTTTTTTCCACTTTAAATACACTATTTCACGGAGCTAATAAACGTGTCCCCGACGATGACTATATTCATACCTATAAGATATTGTTAAATATTTTCTCTGTCGACTATTTCTCGTCATCGTCGATCTGCATATAGCACTTTTATCGCGAAATTCCATTAGTTATTTTAGCAACAACATAAAGATGTTGATTGAAAACTTAAAAGGCTCAAATACATCTGATTTTTGACTAGATAAGTAATTTTATTTGATTATCCCCAATTACATAATATGATATATTCGCAGTTACACTTAACTATTCTCAATTACATTTGATATGTTCGCAATTACAAGTACTATGCCTGTTCCGTTCTTCAGCTTTTTAAATTCCAGGATTCAATAGTATTTCTTTCAGTTTCCAATTTCTTTCTACATATTCTCTAGTGAAAGTACTAATGTCCATTCCTGTAATAGATATTTTTTTAAAAGTTTTTTCTCAGCCTCATCTAGAGCTTTCTTTAATTTCAGAGGAAACTTCTGTTCTTCTATCAATTAATTTTGTGATAAATTCCTTTATCAACAATTTCATTTAAATTTTCATAATTCATATAAATATTTGGTTCTGGAAGATTATGGTATCTTGCCGAGTATCTTGGGTTTGATATTGAATCATTTGGTTGAATATCACTGGAACTCCTATTATATTTGATACTTGAATGCATTTCGATGGTAAGATTATTGGTTACTACTGGTCGATAAAGTACTGGGGTCGTATTTTCGAAACCATTCGAATGCCGTTCGTATACGAAATAAGACGAAATTCGCATGAAAATTGAATTTCCGTATTTTCGAATCGCTTTCGAACGGTCCGTACACGATTTGGTTCGTGTACGTTTACTCGAGTGGGTCTCCACCAGTCGAATTTCACATTTCGCATGCGATTTTAGTTCATTCTGCGCACTGTTTGCAATTTTGAAGTGCTTATTTTGTTTATATACGTTACATTTGTTGTTTATGTACCTAAATACGTTGTGCAAATTGAAAATTGTGTTCGTTGTTCCTTCTCCTTTTGACTTTTCATTCGTTTCCAAATAATTTGTGAATTAAATTGTCCTGCTTTATTAAAAGACAGTTATTGGAATGGCTAGCTTGGATTATTTAATCGAAAGAAATGTTATTGATGCCCTCGAAGAAGCAAAAATACTGGCAGATCGTAGGGATAGAGTGTTACATCCCTTTCTTGATTCGCTGGAAGAATATTGGTGTAGGTAGGTACTTAGTTCCGAAAATTATATCGCCTGACGAAGCTACTCACCTTGGAGTTGATAGAGCTTTTAGAGCCCCATCCAAAAACCATGATTGTTCATTAACGTTATAAAAGCAAGGATGTTCTAAATAGGAAATCCCAACGATTAGGTGCACGAAATTTATTTCAGCAAGATATATACCAGCAATTAAAAAGTCAGATGTCAAAAAAATCTTCTTCGTTTTTGTATCTGTCGAAATGGCCATTATCAAATACTCGAATTTGCGACGTTGTCAACGCAAATAATACTCGTATACGATATAATTTTCGAAGGGTCTTCAAAAATACGCATTTTAGTTCGTACACGACATTTTTCATTCGAATTAAATCGCATGCGAAAGAATTCGCATGGTTTCGAAAATACGACCCCTGGAGCCATTTCAGCCATTTGTACCTACTCTTTAAAAACATTAATATCATCTAGACTTTTGCTTTTATAAGTTCCACCTCCAGGCGGTCCAATGTTTGGATAAACCTCTTCAATTTTCATTTCATCTGGTTCTTCAAGAGCACTTTGCCTCACTTCACTGTCAACTATTATGAATTTGTGGACCCTACAAATTTGTTCTAGTTTAGGGTTTAAAACGACAGAATACAATAAGAGTTTGCTCATGGCTAAATGCTCTTTGGGTTTGTGAGCAATAGGTTTTTCTTTTAGGGATTCGTTTTCGAATAATATTTTTAAGTTTCTAACTACTTTGTCTTCTTCAGAAAGTAATTCGTCAGGAATGTTTTCGTCAATGTTATCGTACCAATTGCCTAAGGATTTAAGGAGAAATTCTTCTTCTACAGACACGAACTTCATGTGAGAATGATTTGGAGGCTTTTTTCAACTTTTTTCAAATAGAATGCCCCATTTGGAAAAAGTTAAAAGTACGAATTATTTCAAATTTATTTACACCTGTCATCTATCTGTAAAGGTATAAAGGCTGCAGGTCGGATGCGAAAGTATATGGGAAAAACCTGTATTCTCGCACAAGAAGTAAAAAAAATTATTCAAACCGCATTCAATCCCATTTCAAGTACATTTCGTTCGTATATTTTGTGATAAAAATAAAATAAAAATACCTTCAAGCAAAAATGGAAAACATACCTGCCGGGTAACGTATGTTTTTGTTAACAATATATACCCTACGAAGTATGTAATCGTAGGAAAGTGCAAGGAAAGTAATCCCATTAAAATCATTACATAATAATCTAAATAGTCATCCTATCTGTACCAAAATATTTTTTTCTTGTAAGGAAAGCCTATGTTAACAAAAATATTTTAACAAACATTTCAAGACAAACCAACTAATTTAATCTAGGCATATCAATATAGGATCGAACTTTGAATTGTGTGAATATTTCCAAAAAAAAACAATAAAACAAAAGTCGTGATCTATGTATATATTATTTTTATACCAGCAATACAAATACATCGCAAACTTTATCCATATATTTCCGGCTTTATTCCGAAAATCCACTATACAAAATCTCGAAGAAATCTCCACATAAAATACTGGACTTTTAACCAAAGACCAAAGTCCAATTTAAATTCAGGATCCGCGCATGCAAAAATAAAGAAAAAAGATTTAAAATCCGAAAAGTTAAACTCGACAAAGTTGGTCCGTCGATAAATCTTCGGAAAAGTTCCCTCTTCGTCAGAAAAATACGAGGAAACTGCTGAACATAACTTTGCCGATGGTAACTGAAATTACGTTGGACAGGATCTTCATCAAAAAATCTTCCCACCGGAAAGGGAAATGGAGAGAAAAATTAGTTGTTAAGGATAGAAATGAAATACTGACCAATTTTTTTTTTTCTAGTTGGCGCTGGTACCAAAACCAAGGACATGTTCGCTCACGTTGGAACCATCGCCCGTCTACCTTGCCCGGTAAACACGGGTTTATGTGGTAAACTTCACAGTGTTAAATGGTACAAGGACACTTCGAGGATATACGTGTTGAGTCATGCCGGTACCAGTCAAAAGGCTGAAGGAGAGGCTAAGGAAAGGTAAGGTTTTATAGTTTTTCATTCATTAGAATAAACCTAAATTGACGATCAATTGGAAATCTTGTGTGAACTTTTTTTCTTTTTTTTGCGCTGCAAGTCAGTGAATTCCACGCAAATAAAATGAAACTAATGAAAACTAAGGCAAATCGACTTCATAAATCTTGAGTCAATGATTTAATTTTAAAACAATTATAAGGACATTGAATTTAAATTCAGTACTTTTTTTAGTGCGAAGAAAAATATCAACTACTTGTACATTCTTCTTTCTACTTTTTTTGCCTAAGGTGAAGTTGCAGGAAGGTCTTTCTCCATCCTATATTGTCTTGTACAGCAATCAAGTATTACTCACTTGCCTACTATGATTATGAAATCGTCCACCCATCATCTTTAGCCGGAATATTCAAATTTTCTTGTGAAATGTACTAAAAATTAATCGATCTGATTAGAGAGCATCTAGCTAGATTTTGTTAATATAATAGCCTACTCCAACCACTCCAAGATGAGGCAAAGTTTTTCTTCCGGAGAAATCAGGTTTTTCCGGCTCATAGTTCTAGAGATGAAATCCCGATAAGGAAATTTTCTAATTTTTTCGCTGCTCTTCTTACAATGATTCATAGTATGAAGTATTGGAGTCCCCAAATGATCATTTACAGACAAAATCTCAACATAAAGAAAATATAATTTTGAACTTTTTTGAGGACCTGAATAGGGCATATTGTATGATCATTCGTAGAGCACTTACCAGCACTTCTCCATCTTATTTCACTTCTCACTTATGCCCAGAATGGAAAGTCCAAGTCTTTTCTCTCTTGAATCATTGTGAGTTTGGAATTCCATTTGATTAATCGATTGATTTGAAAGAGGAGCCTTTACAGGCAGTACGTAGATGCGCATGTGGTCCATTGTGCTATCTCCCTCTTGGTGCAGCCCTGTCTTACCTTAGGACCCCGCAACTTTTAAGAAAGGTGCAGACCCGCTCAGGTCGGACATGCTTTATTTTATGAGGTTCCAGAAAGCTGTACCCCAGGAAACGTAGTCTGCGACTGACGAGGGCGTCATATTCGCAGACTAGATGCTTGTTAGTTTCATCGACTTCGCTGTAGAACCTGCATTCCGTCTCATTACTGAGTCCGATTTTGTGCAGGTGGTATTTGACCATCGAGTGTCAGGACGCCTGTGATGACTCTTAGTTGGCTCTTGTTCAGTTTGAGGAGGTCTTTTGCCTCTTTGCAGTTTGAGGGACCTTGTATAAAGATCCTTGACTGTCTGAGTCCTCTTGGTTATTACCAAGCAGAAAGCAACCCCAAGTTCAGGCTCTGGTTCAAAAGACAATACAGGCAGTGTTGCTACCTTCACGCGCCAGCTGGTCCGCCTCCTCGTTGCCTTTTATTCCCGTGTGACCCGGGACCCAAACAAGGGTGACCTTGTTGAGTCCACTGAGTAGTTCTAGGGTTGTCATACAGTCAAGCGTGAGCCTTGAATTAACCTTGTCTGGGCAAAGGCCGCTAAGGGCTCGGAGTGCTGTCTGACTGTTGCTACCCAGTGTAACACTGAATCTCAGCATGGGTCTCTCCCTATATACACCAGCCCCTGCATTATCTCCCATCTGAGACCCGTCTGTATACCAGATGAGCCCATTCGGCTGGAGGAATCCTGGGTCAGGTTCTAGCTCTAGTCGTCCCTTGCAGCAATTACGACCTTGTCTAGGGACAATGCATCTCTTCTCGTCTCAAGGAGTAGAGCTCCCCGATAAAACGGATGTTATCTCCTTGTCAACGTGTTCGAAAAGTAAACGAGAATGATAAACATGAAAAATTTGTTCTCTCGAGGAGCTCTACTTCCTGAGACAAGAATCGGGCACCTGGTGAGAAGGGGTCTGATAATCCATGCCTCTGCACGGTCCATTTCAACAATCTATGAACCCCAATTCTTGAGTCTGATTGAAGCCTCCCAGGCCCGTGCCTCCACAAAGAGATGAAGAGGCACTATTCCCAATATGGCCTTATAACTGTATGTCCTACCAGTCATCTCTTGTTAATAGGTTTGTTTGGACTTAGTTCAGAATCAGTTCTTTATTGAACTGCGCTTGCGCATTTGTTCATATTGACCTTGAATAATTTGTTAAGCACATATTCGAGGGTTGGGGATTTTTGAGATATTATTTATCATAGTGTATTTAAGACCTGTACCAATTTTCAGCTCTATGCCAATTTTGGTTATTTTACCACTTTTTTTTTGTTTATTTTGACTGGAATAAATTAAAATTGGCTCTAAATCTAGTTTGGTATATGGAAGGATGCGTATTTGCGTGAGCATTTCCATATGATCTGTGGATATAAGAGACACTTTCATAAACAATTAGGTCGTAGATAGTGAAAATTTGGTGCTCCCCAAATAATGGTTTGCCGTGTGCACGCCTATCAGCTCTACATATTATTCTCAAAGCTCTCTTCTGTAATTTGAATAATATCTGTTAGCGTGACTCAGTCATAAACCCCCAAAAAATAATGCAATATTTTAAACTGGATTCAAAGAGAGCATGATAAACTTCCTTGCTGATTGAAATGTTATTCAGTTCGATGGTGACAGTTCTCAGAGCAAATATTACCGATGATAACATTCTTTGTAATGGAACACTTGAATAAGTTCCTCCCAGTTAAGATCCCTTTCAATATGTATTCCCAGAAATTTGTAGTCTCAAACGCATTGTTATGTGTTGTCCTCTATCGTTAAAGTTATGGGTCGTTTCTTTGAAAAGGTCATCAATTTCGTTTTGTCCACGTTCGATGGCCTCCTTTTATTCAAGAAACATATACAAAGGAGGGAGCTCTGCTATTCTGACTTTAAACAATATTGATTGTGTTGATGTTGGTAATTTTTTTGAGTTAAATAGGGACAAAGATTTCGAATTATGCTGTGCTTACTTCCAGGGGTCAAACTTTTGTGTGATAAATGTATACCTGGTGGGGCACGAAAAACTTTCCACCCAGGTTTTCTCAAGTGTTAGGTGTTTAATCAAAAATTGCTCAGATACGTCAATTTTTGTTTTTCGGGAGACATTTTTTATTCTTATTTTCACCCCCTACCTGTGAACTCCTAAGTGAGGGTGACAGGTACCCACAAAATTTCAAATGAAAAGGGGGTTCGAGTGATACGTCATTTGATAGCTATTTTCATTAAGATTATATCCCCGAAGTTTCAAGCTGCTACTATTTACCCTGTCGAAATGGCGGCTTGTCAAAGTTAGGAAAAATCAATGGAAAAATGCTGTGTGGTTTTTACCTGTTACCTACGCATAGGTGTGACAGGTAAAACTATACAGCTTATAGTCTGGCAAGTGGTAACTTGGTAGAGACGAAAGGGGGAAGAAAAGTGGGGCGTGACCTAAAAATATTCACTGACACCTCAACTGACACCGCCTGATGACAGCCATGTCTTTGAGTTCAGTGGCACCGAGAACACTAAGGAAATAAACCAATAAAATTATTAGAAAAAAAAAACCCTAGTTTCGCCAATAACCACGCCACTGCGTGCAGTCGTTCAGGCTCTAACCAATAGAATCATGCCTCTTAATAATCACGCCTCTCCACATCCATCGTTTCGCAATGTTGCCGGATTTTTTTCTATTTCAAAATATTATACATGCCCATATAGCAAAAAAAAATATGTCACCAACTTGTTTATTATTGTTTCCGTCAATTATGGCAAAGCAGAAAATTCTTTTGGAGTTCGCCGTTTGGCTAGCCAGACAATAGATTAACGAAAAAAAAAGCATTTATCCTAACTTTGACATGCAGCCATTTCGGCAGGGTTAATAGTAGCAACTTAAAACTTCGGGGATATAATTTCAATGAAAATAGCTACCAAATGACATATCACTCGACTCCTCTTTCCATTTGAAATTTTGGGGGTACCTGTTACCCCCACTTAGGGGTTCACAGGTAGGGGGTGAAAATACCAATAATATATGTCCCCCAAAAAACAAGAATTGACGTGTCTGAGGGATTTTTGATTAAACACCTAACACCTGAGAAAACCTGGGTGGAAAGTTTTTCGTGCCCCTATAGATCCCCTTCTGGTAACGTTAAAGTTTTTTTGTGACAATTTGTTAATTGTATTGAATGTTCTTTGTAAGAAATCAAACATAATATTGGTAGGCGAGTTTAATTGAGATAGGAACAGAAATTCACAAGAATCTTTGGATCTGAGTAGCATATACTATTATCTTTTATTTTGAAATGTACGTTGGTGCCTTCACCAGAATCACAAAGTATAGTTCTATGATTATAGATTATTTTTGCACAAATCTTTAAAATAAGCAAATAGATCTAGACGTACTCTCCGCAGGAGTAAAGTGACCATGAGACAATTCTTACTAAGGTAAAAGAAGTTTTTCCCTCGAGGAATCCTATTGAAGGCTGCATCAAATTTAGAAATTTTCTCAGAAAAATCTAAATATTTTTTTATCTCTTTTAGAACAAACAGAGGATTATAGGTCTGGCTCCGAAAAGTTTGAAGCTTTTCATAGTTTTGTCTCAAGCAAGGCAAAGGTTTGCTTTCTCCACAGAAAAAACACAAGGAATATGTAACGCCTGACATTCGAGCCCACAATTATTTTAAGAAATACAAGCAAATACTAAAAAGAGACAAAAAATAATTTTTTTAGCGGAGAAACTAGAGATGCGCGAAATAGTAAACAAAAAACTTGGGAAATTGTTAATGACATAGGAGGAAGAAAAAATAACAAAAAATCTCAAATTATAAAACTAATGGTAAATTCAAGGGAAGTCGACCAACCAGCAGATGTTGCAGATCAGCTAAATGATTATCCTGATTTAAGGCCATTCCGAAAATTGAAGAAGTCGTATTCTGCATAATATGCACACATTTCCGCACCACCTTTGAGGTAGTGTGCTTGGCGCGTTTTTTTTTTTTCGCTTTCCCTGTGCGCCTAGTCCTAATATTGTAAATTCTTAAATTAATATGGACCTACCGGTACG